TATGCCTTGTAGTAGTGTTAGTAGTATATTAGTGTTATGTTGTATGACTGTAAGTATTGATTTTATTAGATAAATTCTTTAAAAATAATTATTTCAGCTTTCCCTCAAAGCACCCCCATTTGATCAGGTTTTTTTGTCCAATTTCCCCTGATCCATTGGTTCTAAAATGTAGCTTCACCATGTTGCACGTTTATGGTTGAGCATGTCTTTGCTTTTAGAGGTAGGAGTAAAGCCAAGTTATGATACTGTTTTGACAGTATACCAAAAAAAAAAAAAAAAATAATAAATTAAAATAAATAAATAAATAAATAAATAAAACTGCGATGATGTTTATCGATGCAAATAAGTTTTGTATACTGGGAGCGGGACTAATGGCTAATAGTTGTAATGTTCTGGGAAGAGATTTTGAGCTCAAGAAAATGTGTGCAGATGTACTTCTCCTCCGATGGCACATACAGTATTAATGTTTTTAACTAAAATTAAATCAAAATAGTATATCAAAGTAAAGTTTGTTTTCCCCCTCTACAAATCCTTGAATATTGATACACTTGCTGTTACGTGTCTGATTGGAATATCAGCTGCAGAATGTCTTAGCAGTTGAGCTGTAACAGAAACTTGATTAATGCTCCTCCCATGGAGTTAATTTATTCTACAAAGTATTTTTTTTATTTTTCCTGTTGTAATAGAACGTGTAAATAGGTGTAGTGGGGGTACGCGGTTAAGAGTGGACATGACAAAAATTGAACTTTCATGCCACTTAATTAAATAGAGCAGAATTAGAACTTAAAATAAACTTTTCTGCTATAAGCAGCATTCGTTAGGAGTTGTAATAAATTGAGAATAATAACGCTTGCAGTGAGCATGTTAGACGCAGCGTATTAAAAGAAATCATTTAGTACGGAGCGGCTGCTTATAGCAGATGGCCTCCCAGCCTATCCCAAAAGTCACGTGACTCGGGCGCGAGAGATGTTGATACATCAGCTGGATACCCAGTCTGATACCCAAGCCTTCGTGCGCAGCCGGCGCGCACGTACTAGTCTGTATCTCTCCTCTAATGCTCGGGCCCTATTAGAGGAATGAATTGTACTACATGCAGGAAAAGAATTGTAACTTTTTCTATATCAGGGAAGATATACAATACGGAATTTTTGTCAGCAGTCTCAAGTTTTGGCTGTAGCATGACCCCAGTAAAAGAAGAGCTGTAGCATGTTAGTAAAAAGAAAGAACTAATGGTTCCTACACAAAAGCACACTTTCTTATACCTATTACTGTACTTGTACTGATCGGTATCGTCTGGGTTTTGTCCTATCTCCTCCGTGCTGCTACCTATCCGGCTGTTAAAAAGAAAGTGTGTAGCTGATTTATAAATTTTTCGTCCTCTAGTTGCAGAATAGAACTTGGTTTGGTGGCTTCAACAGAACATTTTTTACCCTTAATTTATTAGTCATGATAATTTTCGAAACTTTTAAGAGTTCAATAAAAATGAAAACTCGGGCACCGTTTTTTAAGTGCTCTTCGCTCTATCCGAGGGGAAAAAAAGCAAAAGGTTAGCCGTCAATTTGAGAACAAAAAATTTCGCTTTTTACTTCAAGCAATTTGAAACAGGGAAAAGCAATACATTACTTTACGATATTTTTAACAACCCAATTATCAAAATGATTAATGCAAAATTATAGCTCCATCATTCCACTGTAAAATTTACGACTGCTTTTCTCAACTACTTACGTACCTTTTAAGCGTTTCATTTTAGCAATTAAATTGACATATTGATAACAGTAGTAATGGGGAAAAATTTTCCCAACCAAAAACTGCATCCGATTTCAATAAGAAAATGATTTTCCAACGGAAATTGCACGATGAATTTGTAGTTGAGAAGACCGTCGAACAAAATCCAAACTTTTGCGAACTTTCGAAAAATGAAAATAACCGTGAAAATCGGTCCTGTGCCCACATTTATGTATATTTTAATCGTATTCTTTCAAAAAAATTTAAAGAAAAAAATTGGCGTCGTTTTTGAAAAAGTTGAAAAATGTTCGGGATCTTCATAAAAAACACTCCTAAATTTCAAAAGTACTGTTTTTTAAAAGTTCCAAAGCTGTCTACAGGGTCCGCGCGTTCAAAATTCCGGACAAAATTAGATTTGAATCTCCCGCGCTTTTATAGCCACCTAAACATGCTCGGCGATTTGTTACATGAATATCGTAATACCCATCTACTAAGCAGACATAACCTCAAAACAGTCCAAATGTTCGAGACAAAGCGAAGAATACAATCGAAGAGCAGCGATAATTGAAAGTGTTCCGCGCTGGTCGCTCAGCGACGGAGATATCAGCCTTCTTCGGATATCCGCAGATCGACAGTGTATGATGTCGTGCCAAAATACAAGAGTCGGAGAAGTCAGAGGAAGGTCTCCTAAGCACCGCGAGGAAAAGGTTCCACGTCGAAGGAGCGCGTAGTTCAGGACGCCAGAAGTCATTCAAAACGCGCTTCAAGAACTGATTTTGAGGATCCAGGACAATCCGATCCGAGAAAATGCGTCGCTTGTCGGAATAAGTTGCAGACAACCTATGCGTTCAGAATTTGTCCAGGAAGACCTCTCGCAAGCCAAATTCCTATACACCACTCTAAAGTTCAGACAAAGTTATCAGGTAGCTTTCGGTAGTAAGCCCCATGACGAAGAGAGCTGCACATTGAAACGCTACTGCAAATCGTTCTTTTGTTCGCTCCTACGGAAACAAGGGCTGGTGCGGATACGTAGCTCAGATTTACACGACGACGAAAATTTGTATACGGTAACACGCAAAAATTAATCAAGAAGAAATGACCGCTAGCTGGCCCCGCGACCCTGAGGATGTTCCCTGTGGATCGAAGAACAAAAATTTCCGGCCAATGTGGCACGGTATAAATATCGACTAGAGTTTGTTTCGTGCCGGAAGGTGATCGTTACGCCCACCCAAATCTCTTCAAAAGGGGAAAATAGGTATGGCCAAGGAGGTTCTATCGTGAATGACTCTTATCTAACACCGTGTGAAGCCGCTTGTCAGTATCGGAACAACGTAGCATTTAGGAAAGGCCATATGTGTTCCAAGCAAGACGGATCGCACCTGCCGCATACCGAGTCATTTTGCTGCCAGAAATGGTGATATCGGACAATATCGAACATGTGTTTGTCGAAGGAATTACTGCACCTCGCCAACCGCCAACCAATTTAACATCCGTTTTTGATTATTATGTAATGGAGCGTGGTTGTTAGAGAAGTGAGAGTAAACCAAGTCCGAGACACCACAGATATTTTGACAGTTCAAAGCACCGCCCGCAGTCGACTACTGACAGCTATCATTCGCCGATAATGGTACCGCTTAATGCCCATTTGAGCACAACTGTGTCCTCTGGTAGCGTTCAGACCCAGAAGTGGATGGCCGATTTTAACGTTCAGACAAAGATGTAAACAGATGATAGTGTTATAGATAAATTTATTCCATTAATTAATCCCATATACCATAACCCGTAGGAGACTCTCTCTAAAAACATGTTGTTTAATTTCATGTTTACAACAAAAAATATAGTGTAAAGAAAAATGTTCAATTTGTCCGGATTTTGGCCGTGCACCCTGTACTATTCTCAGATCGACTGCGAAATATCATGTTTACAAAAAATCCTACTATGGTTTAGTCGTTAGTGGTTTTCACAGACAGACGGACGTTTTGCCGTCAATTGAGTTTTCGGGGTCAAGGATCCTCAAAACATGAATTCTGGCTACACATCGAGTTAGATTTTTTCTTAATTTAGCAGCTGGATTTAACATCTTTTTCGGTATCAGGGCCTAGCAATGATTTTTTTTCTGCCGAAAAGTCACCATTTTTGCACGCAGTATTACAAAGCTGTATCCTTGCTGCGTATATCACTCCGTATATACGTGCGAGAAAGTAAATATGGTGCTACAGAATGGGACACACTTTCCCGTATTAGTTTTCTATTTGGTTTGGTCTCGGCTAGCTACTCGGACTTGCCACATACTCTTGCCAGCTGCCATCTAACGCCGCACAAAGTACATATTTTTCTCAATTTTTCAGTTTTCTAAGAGTAGAACGGAAATATTATTTCCAGTAATTATTCCAAACATTAAAGACCAGTAAAACCTCGTCCTAAGTGACAATTTTCTTTGAAAATTTTGGAGTGTTTATTAAGAAAATGTCGTTTAAGAGCTACTGTACATTCAAATTTTGAAGCTCATTTTCACAGAAAATGTTTGAGTTTTCGAAAAACTTCATTTGAAGTCATTTTAGATACTTTAACTCACAAATCCGAAAGTGTTTACAAATGGATGAAAATGTGCATATCAACGGCGGGAGAGATGTTTTAAAAAAACATCTTGTCCACATTTGTGTAATTTGTGGGGGGGTAAAAATACCTCCAAATTAACTTTACGTCATATTACAGATTGGAATTAGCATTATCTGTTCGAAATGTTTGAAGATTTTTGGAGTAATTTTTGAGAAAATGGCAGAGTGTTTCTGAAAATGTGGAATTTTGGACTAATTTTCACAGAAAACGGTTGAGTTTTCGAGAAACTTTATATGACATTATTTAAGCACATGTACACATAATACAATAATGTGAACAAATTGCCGCCAATAGACATATTAACGACATTAGAGACAAATTAAAAAATTCATGCTTTTGAAATTTTTGAAAATTCGAGTTAACCGTGAAAATCGAACCTATGCCACTTTTATTTGTGTATGTTACTCTACTCTTATAAGAAATTTAAAGAAAAAATTTGAGCGGTTTTTGAGAAAATTATGAAAATGTTCGGACGGCTTCATGTAAAGTACCCACAATTTAGAAGAATGATTTTCAAAATCTCTACGTTTCGGCTCGAGCCAGATGGACAGGGGTTTCTCCAATTTGGAAAAAAATCCTTCGCATGGTTTACAAGTTAGTAATGTTCACAGACACCAGATGGACGGAAGGACGATTTAAAAAATAAACACTTTTTCGGACCCCAAAACGTGTATTTCAGTTTAAATCTCGAAATCAATTTTCCGCAGCATTACATAACTTTCTCTATATTACGTATATTACTTCGTATATACGCACGTATACAGGAAAGTAAAAAAGGGAACAGTACAGTATATGGCATTTTAAACTACAGAGGTGTGAGTAACATTGATTTTCACATTTACTGATTAACAAAATACACTTGTACAATCCAGCCTCTGGTCTTAAAGATATCTTTCCTATAATATTTTACTTTGTACAAAAACTCCACATATCCCTATCAGAAACTGACTACTTAATATTTTTGTTTGTTTTTCAGTATTCAGTATTGTAATGCCATTGAACCTGTACCACCACTGGTCATAAGCCATCTTTGGTTTCCTACATTTTCTGATTTTCATTTTTAAGAATGTTGTCAATGTTTTTATTACGAAAGAATTTTTCATGGAAAACTACTAAAGAACATCCAAACAAATTTGTTCCTTTACAAATCTCATAGTAGTGAAGGAAAATTCAAGTAGAGCAGAGAACTCCCTTTTTTTGATACTAATATCACTTTTAGAGCATCTGATAGACTCGACTTTATGAGTGGTATTATATACTATTCAGGAAGACTATGAAGCATTTTGTACTGAAAAGTCACAGTCTCAACAAGCAGTGATTAGATGAGTTGAATCTCATTGCTGTAATATTTTATTTTTGTGAGATCCAATTGTTCACTCAAGAACACAGTAAAATATTTCATTTTCCTTCATTTTCCACATAATTACATGCATTACAATAATACTGTAAATAACATCATGTCTATATTGTTTACATGTATACTTCATTATTTCGTATTAGATTTATTAACATTAGCTCCCTAATGCTGTAGTTCAAAATTAAGCTTTCAGTTGATTAATAAAGGAAGAAAACATAAGCATTCTCACTGATTTTCATCTTCTGTGTTACTTTAATACAATATTATACTGTCACTCCTAGTTGTCCTTTGCAAATGCCAATCCTATGAACCTATTCTTGAAATGAAACTCGAACTGAAGTATTTATTACATCTAGAATTTCTGAAAATATGATACAATATGAAATAATTTTTGAGTATGAAATACAAAATCAGCAATATAAATGAGGAAAAGAAGCATCAAGCACTTGCTATGATTTCTTTGAGTATACACACAATGAGATCATTTATATTGCCCAGGTGAAATACTAATATAGGATTGACATTTGTAGATCCCAAGGCATAACCATCGAAGCATTTAAGCAGTGTTTTCATTTAGATCATCTATTTGAGAACATCTGATTGATTAATTTTATATAAAAATCAATCAAGTTTTAATTAAGCACAATACGTGTGCAATTTGGGTTCATTAATTTATCATTTTAAAATAACCTTTTCCAGAAGTATTGCACAACCAAATTATTTAGAGAAAACAAACCTTCATTAAACAGGTTAATTTTACATCTTTTCTTTCTTAGAGAAACCTGAGTTATTTATTTATTTAAATCAATTGCAATCCATTATATAAGCTGAAAACAAACATTTTTAGCTGGACAAGCTGAAATATTAATTTCAAAATAACAAGATCTGTACAAAGGAATGTATTAATTCAGAAAATACAATTTTTGTGATAATGAAAATAGTCAAAATAATACAAGTAACATTGAAGGTATTTTCTTTTCAGTCTACTTTGTTTTTTCTAGTTACACTTTTCACAAATATAAATATTAAAATTATTCATGTATCATTGATTTAATCCTTTAATGATAGTATAACAAATACATTTTTGCAATATGAATTGTTATTGAATACATCTAAGAGTGTTACTACTGCATCTCATTGCATTTACACTGTTGAAAGTAGTATGACTTTGCAAGAAAGGTTATATAATTACTAGAAATAATTTTAAATCAATAGAGCAAAAATGAATAGATTTTAAATGTTGATTTAATATTGAATAAACTACTCTGATTATTTACCCTTTCTTTGGTTTTCATGAGCACACCAATAGGCAAAGTCGAAGGGAAAAAAATCTAATTAATAAATACACTAATAGTTTATAAAAATTTACTGGATTTCCAAACCCTGAATTACACCAAATGGTAAAAGAACGAAGAAAAACAAGAATTCTGACTAAAGTTTTTTCCCAGAAAAGCAACTACGTATTATTATAAAACTGTACATTTTCTTCAATCTTGGATAATACAGAGTACTATTAATTGAAAATATTAGCATCTGACTTCTTTTTATATCCTTTGAACTTTCTTAATATATCCGAACACTGATGAGTAAAATAGTGAAAATTTAAACTCCAAGACACATTTATCAATAAATAATTATCAGATTTCCTGACATAATATATACCCGTACAATGCCATCATTCAATTTGCTTAATACACTTGCAATCACCTGTGGAAGTTTGTACATCTGTTGCATTTTGGGGGGAAGAGAGTAATGGAAAATGCCTCTAAATAGATCCATTTCTTCCAAATAAAATGAATTCTCATAAAATTTAAAGATGACATGGAACAGTTATTCCTACATGCTACAAATATTTGCAAAGGAATCACTCACAACAGCTATTTATGTATTGATGCTTCACAATTCATTCACATTAAATAAGTAGGAGAGGGGATTTCAAGAGTTGGAATTCTGTTTTTATGACGCATTGAGAACAGAGCCTACTAGGATTTATAAGAAATCCTTCCAATATTCCTAACAAATTTATTGCTACAATTTTGTTGTATCAATTTGTCCTTTTTGTATGACTGTGTTGAACAGAAAGCAATAATAAATGTTTTCAAACAATGATCATGAAACCTCAACAAAAATTATTATAAGTTGCACACATTGCTTAATTCAAATTTTTGTTATATACCTATGTACCAAATGCACAAACACATCTTGTTATACAATGAAATTCACTAAGTCCATTTTTTTATGTTTTGGACTTGCCAAGTCATATTTTATTTATTTTTTTATTATTAAAATAGAAAAAGTCCTGGAATTTGGGAGGACTAAATTGTCAATTATTATTTTTTTAACAATGTCACAGACCAGTGAAAATGTACACAAAAATGCATTGTTGGACCTGATTGTTTTTGTGACTTAAAAGCATTGTATTGAAATGCTAGTAAAAGAAATCTTTTATGTCCTATTAATCAAATTTTTTTGAGAAGACAAATTTAACATGTTTATTTTAAACTTGATTTATTTTGGAAAAACTTTTTGGACTTAGTAAGTTTCTTGCTTGTTTGTATATACGTACGTATCTATCTATAAATAGATAAATGAATACACACATACACAGGGAATCTCAGAATACTTGTTACAAACTTCTAAAGCATGTAGAATGGTTGAAAATGATCACATTTTGTCAAAGAATGTAGAGTGGGAAAGGGCATATATTGGAAATACATGCATTTATATATGTGAGATTTGCCCCTGATTTTAATGCAACCCATATCCACTATGTTTGGCAGGTTCATGAAATCTCCTTGACTGCATGAGAATGAGTATTAGGTACACATACATAAACTCTCACAGTTTAATGCATTAATGGCTATGAGGTTACAAATGCAAAGGAGAAGACAAAATTCAAATGAAAAGAAAAGGGAAAGAAAAAACAAAATAAATTGTAAACCTATAATACTGTTTAATTTATAGTTCATATTTGTCAACCATGGACATCTCTGAACATCAAACATATACATAACAGTTGAATACATGCAAATACAAATTGGCTTTAAAAAAATGTACATGCGTCTCATTATATACACAGAATCAATATGTGTTTAAAAAACTGGCTAATCTGCAAGCTGTTTAGGTCACAATGCAGTGCTTCAATTCCCTGGCTGCTTAAACATTTCTTTATAACTGCTAGTTGACACACAATGACACAGACTAAACAGAAAATCCAGGTAGTCAATTAGGTATTTTTTCACATGAAAGAGACTTGGATTCCAGGACAGTCACTATCACAAAAACTGAGATTCTCCATTGCCTTTTCTTGAAACATTTACTATATACAATTTCAAATGCCCATCTCCAAATGCAAAAAATACTCAATCTTCTTTCTTGCATTGGTGTCTCCAGTCCAACATTAGTCAATTACACAAAAACCCACCTAACCGACATATTAAATCATAAAGCACTATGACAATCCAATGTAAATTATCATCTAAAATCAAATATAAGTGGTACCTCAGTACCTATTAATGCGCTAAAAATATTTAGTGGGATGAAACTCTATAATAAACTACACATTAAAAAGCTACACATTTCTGTATACAGTCTTCTTAATTGATATTAAATAAGCATATAATTTAGAGAAGCATAAATATAAAATTCTAACAATTATTCTCATCCAATTTTAAATTGCAAACACAATCATGCGACACACCCAACAAAGAAAGAAGAAGAAGCATCATCATAAAAGCAAATCTTATTCTGAGAAACATGCAATTTTATAGATTTTTTTATCAATGACCTAAAATACATGTTTCTCATATATTCCTTTCATTACAATAATTTTCTACCTATTACAGAAAGTTATCTTCTTCTTTAAATTACAAACATACATATCTAAAGTAATTAAGGACAACAGGGCATATTTTAACCATTAACCCATTGTCATTAACCTGAATTCAATTGATAAAATTGAAAACTAATTGTTTATTAAATAATAATGGCATTACAATTTTTCTTAAATAATATTATAAAACGTGTATCTTTTATAAGATATGAATCTCCCACATTACAATTCTTAAAGAACTGACATTAGGTCACTAATTTGCAGGTGAGAATTGATTTTGAAAATTATTTAATTTAAGTTATTCTGAAGAGTAATAATAATGTTATATGAAATAGAGGTACAAAAATAATAACTGCTTTAATAATAAAAAGATAAAACTATAATGGAATGAGTTTCATGAGTTCCACCGGACATCTTTGGAACAGAACACACCTCACAAATGCACCACAATTTTAATCTAATCTTTCCATACAAGAAAAATACAAAACACAACATTATAATCTACTTATTGACCTGAAATGCAAAGCTCCCAATCATGTAAGGTACATAAACAAGCAATAGCACACATTCAGTGAGCAATTATTTTGTTCTTAAATCAGTATTTTCCTCTCCATTCACAAATGTGATCTTATTTAGACACAGAGGTAGACTTCACCCCAAATCACATCAGAAATTCAGCCTTCAAACAATATGCAAAAGCATGTCATAAAAAACTAAAGCTATACACACATTTGACATCTGTCATGGAGTACTAAAGCATTTCAAGATAATACAAACAATTTAAGAAAGAAATGGATAATATTGAAAGAATTTCCAGTTACCCAAAATTGTCAACTCCATGTGCAAACTCAACTTTAGAAATGTTTTTAATATCAGGTATCAACTGCAATTAACATATGGAGATACGCATGTTCACACGACAACAAACTGATGACTACCTGATATGTGCAAAATTAAAAATCTCACTAAAGATAATACATGGCAAGTTTTAACATATTAAAAACATTTCTTATTCAGAAATTATGAGCGACATTAAATTTCTCAGCTGTTTGGCTGAAAGAATCAGGTCAAGCATGTTATGTGATAACAAATTTTACATCTTTCTACTGCAAGTAACTGGGATTTTTCATAAATGAAACAAAAATGCACACTTTCTTTCCCAGACACTGACAATTCTTAATCTATTACAACCAAATATGAATGATGTTATCTTCAATATACTGAAGACTCCCAAAAATCTAACATCAATTAATTTGTAATCAGCTCTTTTCAATATAATTTGTCAAAGTTCCAACCACTACATGTTCATATGTTATGATACATATGTTCTTGAGGACTAGACTAACAGTACATACTCAAAATTATGATGTTTACAATAATTGAAGTAACTTAATATGACATGACATTAACATAAAGACTTAAAAAGGGACACATCTTCCACAAAATAAATAGTGAGATGTAAATGACTAGAACATATAACACAGGATCAGCAAAGGAAGTACCAAACCTACAGGAGAAAAAAACCTTCAGACATTCAGCAGAATATCTATCCACACTTCATTAACTTTACTTAGGTCATTGAGTTGTCTAAAATACAACAAGAGAAAATGCAAGAAAAAATCACCAGTTTCCATTAAATATCATTGCACTATGCCAATGCCATTTTTAATCCCCTACATACAAGTACACAGAACAAATTAGTTACTGCATAACTTATATTAAGGTGCAAAAAACCTAACCAATTTGAAATAAAGTCATAAAAGTATTTACTGTTAATTGCATTCCATTTTATTTTGGAATATAATAAATTGGATTCTTGTTCTGTACTCTGGTGATCTAAATAATTTTTTCTTCAAAAAACTGCAAAAATTGAGATCACATTCAACGAGGAGTGAAAAGAATACTGACCTGCACAACTGTACAAGCAAAGCGTGTTTCAAGTCATTCTTCAACAGATATTCCTTAGAAGTTTACATTCAACATTCAATTTGATAATATGCTCAAGAAATATTCAATATTAAATTGACAATGAACTCTCTTGAAACAATATCTGAACTCCAAAGAATTTTAAGATGCTGGCAGCTAATTACATTTTACTGTATTTCATAATTCCCAAATAAAAATCGAACTTACAATATACAATAATCTCTTTGCACTTCTACGCTTAGAGAGGAATTTCTTATTACAAAGTCTTCACATTCAGCGGACACAAATATAAACAACCAAGTTTAGGTGATACAAAAATCAATACACATCTCACCAGTTCATAAAAAAATAAATATAGAAGCTGCCTCACATTTGACCATGGAAATCTACAAATGCACTAACAAAATCATTGGTAATAACTTTACTTGTAAAATCTTGTTGGAGATACAGGTTTTTTTCCAACATTATTTTTTAAGAATCACAATACATTCATATAATAATATCATTTCAACAATAAAATGTTATTACAATGATACAAATGATTCAATGAAGGTGGTTTATAGAATACCTTGCATCAGAACAAATAAATCCAACAAATGAATTATCATGACAACAATCAAATATCAAACACTTCAGAGAGAATAAGAGCAAAACATTAATGTCAGCTTTCAAATGCATTAATATAAATAGACCTCTACTTTCAATGTATCTACAATAATAAACTTACATTGTTAAAGTATGTAAAACATCTGATACAATAAAGGGAGAGAAAAAAGTCACACACTTTAATGTCAATTTTTTTGTTCTAGGAATAGAGAATTTATACATACACTCATACATTCACACAAATCAAAATTCCATTACACAACAATGGAAAATGCACCTCAAAGCAATGTCTAGTACCTGCATTAAAAATTAGGCACACTATGATTCTTGAAAACCACACCAATATCTTTGCTAACACATATCGGCCAAACAATCAATCTCTTGACTTTTTTTTAAATTTCACAACTTTTTATTTACTTCTTTTAATTGACACACTATCCTTTTTTCAATAAAACCTATTAGAATACTAATACAAATTATAACACAAAATGTTTTGATCAAGTTTTCTCTGAAATGATTGCATCTTCATTTATTTATGTAAATAAAATATTTTGGCAAGGACACTCATTAAACCCCTTTAAACCTCATCCAATTTTCATTAACAAAACATGAAGGAATGAACTTTCAAAAGCATTGAACATATGCTGGAACTAAGGTTAAAAGTTGCAGACCAAAAAATATAACATAACGTATCTGCTTTGAACCAAAACTGATCACCTGAAATTTAAGTACACAGAATGAGTCTATTAAATATTTCTAAGTTTTATGAGAATAAAAAAAATTATAACACCCACCTGGTTTGCAAAGCACTTACATGATAACAACCAATATTGCAATGAATTTTAAGGAAGAAAAACTGATTTGAATATATTTTAAATCTGTAACTTGCTCTCTGCCATTTACTTCAGTTTCATCGACACAAACATTTAATTCACTTCACACAAGAACTGCTTTTGCACATAAGCATAGCATCCTTCACAACCCCATAAATCAGTGCCATTAAAATAATCAATTTGAAAGTGCAGAGCTTGAGATGCACTTCTCAATATCTGAAATTTAAAACCAGCATGGTCAAATTTATCAAAATAAGATGTCTAGCAATTTCTTCAGATACTTATTTTCAACATTCGATTCAAAATTTCTTCATACACACGATTTATATATTACAATAAAAAATATGTAAGTATTAATATGTGGTTAACTGTATATTTACAGCAATGTCTACGATAATATGAATGTGCCAAACTGCAAGTGTTTCACATGTCCTAGATCCTATCTCAATCTATTCATGCATAACACTACCTCCCTTAGAGGTATTAAGATATGTAATTTTGAACAAGTGATATACCTAAAACAATGACTAAAATGTTCAGTTGATTCTACTCAACTTTTACAAAATTTAATACTAGAAGTTACACCAAAATGAATACACATATTGCCACCAGCAGAACAAAATTTTACATACATTCTATTTTAAACACAACAGTCCCATATCTTCACCCCTCATTTCATTCATTAATGCTCTCACAATGATCTTCTAACCGTTTGTTACACTGCATCTTAAATCAGTATTTGGCATGTGATATTCACACGAAGTTCATCCCATAAATTATACAAATTCTTTGAATAAAAATAATTTTTGTGAAAAATGTAAATGAGTTGTGAGGAAGATACATTGCTGAACACTTCTACACTACTATACATTTAGATTCCAGGGCATGACCAATAAGTCAGTTCTAGTTCATCGACTCAACACAAAGTGACTGTCCACACATTATCTCACTAAATGCTTAAGATGTGTCAAACAACGTTTGTGGTGACATTGGTGACTGTTCACACAGAGTCACAACTGACAGAGACTGCTAAGAAGGCATGTCTGTCTGAGTCTGAATTGATATGGTAGGATACGGAAGAACCGATGGAGATTCTGACGAATGTGCCACCATATTCTTATTGTCCATTGAAGATGAACTGTGTGAATTAACAACAAAACCATTGTGGTATGATGTGAACACAGGTACAATACCTGGCACAGTGAGTGCAGGCACCTCAGGCAATTGGGCTAAAGTCTGGAGTAGCGCATGCTCATCTGTCAAGGAATCCAGTAAACCCTGAGTTTGCGACAGTTTCTCTAGGGACTTCACATCCTTATCAACTGCTTCTAAAGCTCTCTCCAATTCTTCTGTTTCTTCTCTTGTTGGCTCATATTCACCATTTTTATCTTCTGAAAATGATCATGAAAATGTCAATAAGTAGACTTCTAAAAAATATACATACACATAATAAGAATCCATTAACACCTACCAGTAAATAGGTCATTAAATGCATCTGCTGGAATTTGATTTAAAACATTGGTAAGATCATGCTCTTCAAGAAGACGAGAAGCTTGATTGGCCAACTCTACAGGATCCAGAGGAAGTTCTTCTGCCATGCTCAGTACCACTTCCTCCTCCACAACTTGCACATCTGGCACTGTACAATAGAATTATATATATATATATATATATATATATATATATATATATATATATATATATATATATATATATAGACACACACACACGCGCGCACGCGCACGCACGCACACGCGCGCGCGCACACGCACGCACGCGATAATGACTGCTGCCTTTTCTTTCGCATTAATATAAACTAATAATTTTATTTTTGACTAAAAAAACGCATAGTGCATAGTTGGTAAATTAATGTAGAATGTGAGTACACTGAATTCAAAGGCAGAAAGCTGTTTTTGCCTAAGTATTTGAATTTAAAAAATATGTATTTTTTACGCTTTTTTTGTTTAAGAATTTTTTAGATGGTTGTTGAAGCGTAAGTCAAATTATTGTATTATAATATTACATAGCCATTAACAATTTTGAAAAAAAAGTTTGTTCTGTTAAAGCACCACTAGAGTAAGTATACAAAAATGTACCTGATGCCTCTGCCTCAGGCAAAACTGCAGGCTCAGGTGTTGGGATTTCCACAGGCTCCTCTTTAATGTATGTTTCAAAACTTTCAGATGGAGAAGAATTTTCTCCTCCATTATTATCTGAAAAATTGCATTTTTTTAAAGATTGATACACACAATAAAATCATATTGTACAACACATGATGATGAATGTAGATATTCAAAAGGTTGAAAGTTTACAAAAATTCATACCTGTTTCAGAGCTATGTTCATACTGTGGATTTGGACACTCACTAGGAGTGCCTAACTGCTGACTTGAACTATCCACTGAACACGGCTCTGAATATCTATTCATACGTCGTTTCTTCTTACCACGTTTACTTGGTCGAGTCATGGCAGAAGGTTTAGCCTTCTTCCGTACCTTCTTTGGTTTAGTTTCTGCACACATTCTATCATAATTATCCTATGAACAATAAAAAAATAAAATAAGAAATATAATAATAATAATAATAATAATAATAATAATAATAATAATAATAATAATAATAATA